TTTGATTTGAATAATTAATTGGTAAGGAGTTAAGTCGACCTATTAATTACTCGAGGATGTGGAATCCTTTTATTTAAAAAAATTTAAATTAATTTAATTGTGAAAATATTTAAATATGTACCTACTAATTAATCTAATTTGAACAACAACCTAATTGAAATAAAAGAATATATTTTTAGTATATTTTCTTTAATAATAAAATTAGATGATTAAAATCAAACTAGTTTCTAAAATCCCTAATTTAAAAGTTACTAAAAAAGAGATGGGTGTATATTGAAAATGGAATTGTATGTGATCTTACCGGTTGATCATAACCTAAAAGTGTGTCGAAGAATGACGTCTACTTGGATGGAAAGTTGAGGAGAGGAGGGGGATGTACCTGCAAGGCACTTTGAAGATTAAGTAAGAAAGAGTATAAATAGATACTAGAATCAGATTAGGGTTTTTTAGTGATGAATATTAAAAATCTGGCCCTCACAAGTGTGAGGGTTTATATAATGCCCCTGACGCTTATCCATTGGTCCCATATTTTTAGGCATAGATATTAGGTTCCTATAAAATAGGTAACTACCAGGACTTAGTCAAAGTGGGCAGTCATGCTCATAACTAGACGTTGCTCCGAGCAAGGTAAAGATCAAGGCCAGATGCGTTATGAGCATTTTCCTGATTGTCTTCTCCACGCGGGTCGAGCAGACCTGGAAATAGTTACTGATGCGGGAAGGTGTATGGTTCAGGGCATCGTTGGTTTCTTGGTTCATGGGGTGTCGTCGACCGCGTGTGCCTGAATGACGGGTCAAAGCTAGTAGGGTAGAGTTGTTGGGCCATGGGGAAGGTAGAAGTAGATTGGGCCATGCCTAGTCATTGGGCCAGTCCATAATAGAAGCCCCACAAGTCGTTTCTTCGAGGCATATGAGTGATGACTTAAAGTTATCCCGTGTGATGAGGAGGTGGCAATGCTTTTAGTGCTCATCGTGGGAGACGAGGACACTTCAGGATGCATTCGGAGGTAATTGTGTCGAGAAGCCCGAACATGGTCTGTTGTTTTTGATGCGCGGGGAGACGAGTGGTTGATTGGACTCTGAGAGATAGTGTAACATGCTTGCATCAAGCCATGTATTTTCATTAATGCATGATGACGGAAAATCTAGGAATTAGGGTGTAATGATGACAACCCCTAGGCTTCCCTACGAGTGTGCCCGCTCACGTGCTAGCAGAGCCGCCTATAAATGGAAGAAAGTGAGCTTCAATTGCATTTTTAGCTTGATTTATTTTGCCCGTTTATGCTAGTTTTTCCAAGAGCCACCATTCACCATTGAAGTTTTTGCTTGTTTCAACGTTAATCCTACCCGACTTAGTAAGTTTCTTGATTTTCCCTTGTTCCTGTGAATTTAACCCCTGTTCTAGGTTATATTTTTTTTTTTTTCTTTTAGAGATGCATGTGATTAGGATTAGTGTAGCTTAATGCGGAAATTTATAGTGGTTTGTTGGCATCTGACGGTAGTTCTGCCACCTGGGGACGTCAACTCCATTGTGAATGTGTTGGTGATATCTGGCGTTTGGCCAGTAGCGGTGAATTGTGATGAATTTTCCAGCAAAATCAGGCTACTTATGGGTTTCTGTCATGTTCCTCATGCGTTGCTGATGAATCCTCATGAGAATTTTAGAACCCAGCTGCCAGGGTGATTACTCCTCACGCGGGTTAGGGTTTAGCCAGGTGGGCAGTTGCCTAACGCGTTAGAGGGAAGGAATCGTCCTTGCATCCGTTTTTGTTGTTTTAAGTGAGGGCTCTGGTAGGGTACAAGGTCCTAGTTCCTTTGTGTGCCCATTCACTTGATTAGCGGTGGAAGGGTGATTTGATTTGATGTCGAATTCACTTTTGTCCTCTGATTTTCAGGTAAAATGGCTAGTAGCACCAAAGACGAAGTTATGAGAGAGCAAAGTGATTCTGAATAGAGCTCGTCCGAGCGTAATTCGATCAAAGAGAGTATGTTATGGAAACATGGATTTGAGCCGAGCATGTCGGGACAAAATGCATTTGGGTAGAATGTGCCTGAGCCACCTATGGTTTCCATGGACAGGGTCACACCGGGTCCTCGAGATATTTCCTGCTACTTCACCAAGCACCCGGAAGAAGTGTTCACAGTTAGGGCCCCGAGGATGGAGTGAGAGGGTGCTGAGGAGACCATTTCCCTATGTACGAGATTCTTTTTAGAGACTTAGGGTTCAGTCTTCCTTTCACCGACCTTCAGGTGGCCGTTTTTGACTATCTTCACCTCGCTCCCTCACAACTCCACCCTAACTCGATAGACTTCCGTCGGGCTTTTGAGATTGTGTGTGATTATTTGAAGATTGGGGACACTGTTCCTTTGTTCTTTTACTGCTTTCACCTCCAGCAGGGCACCGTTGGAAATCAATTTTGATGAGTCTCTTAGAAGCAGGCTAATGTGAAGCTATTTAAGGCCTACCTTGAATCTATCAGACATTTCAAGGACATGTACTTGTTGGTCCAGCCTGTGTCGGAGAGGGCAATCCTTAATATTTTTATAAGCGTCCCCCAACATGGTGAGGACGGGGAGCCCATGCTGATCGAGGAGGGTGAACTGATGAGGGAGTTGGTGTAGAGTTTCAACTTCCACCGTGAGGCAACTAGGAAAATAAACAATAAAGTCTCCATCAAATTTTATTTATCCCAAAGAGAAAGGAAAACATCGAGTAAACCTGGGAGAAAATAAGGTCTTGCATTCAAGAGAAAGGGTACGTGAGTCGATTATGCAAGGGGAAGATATTAGCACCCCTCACATTCGTGGTACTACACGGGATCCACTCTTGTTGTTCTAATCAAAGGGTGTGTCTATAATATTCTAAAGCTTACAAGCTAAGGGAAATGCATGAGAAAAAATATAGGGAAAACAAAGGTTTTAAATAGTTGTGCTCGCTTAGGCCCTGCAGCCTAATGCCTACGTATCCCTTTTAAGGAATCAGAGCGTTGTAGTTCGGCTCAACAGTTTTATTTGTTTGTGTTTTTTAATTGAACGATGTTAAATTTCGCATTCTACTACAGCTCGACCTTTGGAGACTCACGCCTTGTCATAGAAAGGAACTAACATGTTATTACTTGAAAAAAAATTCTTAAAAGAAAGGCCTGGATGCAGCCCGAAAACAAAAAGGTTTGAATTTCTTGAGTGTTTTTGTTCGGATAATACCTCATATGGTCCTCCAAGGCCGGAGGTATCCGAGTACTTCTCCTTTACTTATGAAAGTGTTTGAGATACATGTAATACTAAAGTCTATGACATGAGAGACTTTTAGATGGTCGAGTCAGGGGCCTAATATCCAAAGTACTCTGCATGTGCTTAAGACTCGTGAGTTATATGCATACATCATATTTATTAGTCTTTTTTGAATTTGATTAAGAAAAGAACTTTTAGTTTTAATGATGCAAAAGGGGAATGAAAAATCTAAGGGAGATTTTATTTCTAATGGTGGCATGCAATATATGGTCCTAGAGTTGATTTTGAAGGAAAATCCTATCTAAAGTGTTATGATGCATGATTTACAAGTCTAAGGTCTAATTAATTCAATTTAATCAAAAAATTAAAATTGAATTAAAATCCTAAAGGAGCATGTCAATATCATACAAACAAATAACAAGAAATACTATCTATTTTTTGTTGCACTTTTATCGTTATGAAGCAATGTAAACAGATTTAAACAATTAACAAAATCAATTATCGAAAAAAAACTGCAATAAATTAAATCCAGGGGGTGCAAGAAGGAAGAAAGAGGTATAGTCCAGTAATAGCTAGGCGCTACACCCCCATAAAATAGTTTAGAATCTGTTTTTTGTTACACAAGGTTCAGGGAGCAAAAACGAAAAAGTGGCCCAAAGAAATGGTCCAAGAGCCCGTTTGTTTGCAAAACAAATTCCAAAAGAAAGTGTCACGGGCCTAATGGATCCCCACAATAACTCGGTCCAACAACACCTTCCTACCAAGTCCAGTTAATTTTGCAGCATTATTATTCAATTATCATTGAAAACAAAACAAAATAAATTTGGAAAGGAAAAATGCTGCGTTTGGTGTTTATAGGGTTAAGATAATTTGTGACGCTTCAGATTTCAGAAAACACAATCTCTTCCCCTTCACTCTCTCTCAAACGCAGACGGCAGACAACTCTTCTCCGGCGATTTCCGCCTCAACTTCTTCTCTCCATCTCTCTCTTTTCTTCCAATTTCAAACCAAAAACTACATCTAATCATCATCACTGAAACCCTAGGTTGCTAGAAAACCAAATTATTGCCCTAGAGAGAACAAAGAATTGAAGTTTTGGATTTTTTGGAGGTGATTCTTCTCACATATTTTGAAGAATAGTGAAGATAGATCAGAGAAAATTGAGAGAGTTTGATGGTGATTTTCTTGGCGATTCTTCCAGAAATTGGAGAATGAACCCATTTCAGGTATGAACTCTGTTTTTATATTCTGTTAGAGATCTGAGAAGTTAGTTATGGCTTGAAGCATGATAGCCTTTGGATTAAAGTTAGTTACAAAAGGTTGAGGGCTGAGATCGAATCTGAGTTTTTTGGTTTTAGATATTTTTTGTAGAACTGGTTTTATGGAAGTTTATTAGTGACCTGATTTACACGATTTGCATTTTTCTTCTGACCTTCTGTTTTGAAAAGTTTTTTTCTATTTTCATATGTTTTTCTAATTTTCCGCAGAGCATCGTTTCATTGAACAGTTAGCCTTGAACTAATTTTTGGTTTGGAAACTAAATGATCCTAAACTTGCAGCTGCATATTGACAAAGTGTTTGGACTTGGTTTGCACATACTTTGGTTAAGATGGTTCAGGGTTCAGACAAGAAAGCATAGTTAGAAACTTAGGCTTAGGCACCCTGAAGTGTACCATTTTCCTTGCAATTTGGCTTTGTAATCTCTTACCATGACATTGCATCAAGACCTTTGAATGTATGGAATTTTACTTGGATGGACTTTGTAATTTTTTAAGGACCTTGAATGGATTTAAATGTACATGGATGATTCTTGACTTTTTGAAACATGAATGAGTATTTGGAGTGAACATTAACTTGAATGAAGTTGAATAACTTTTGTAATGAATCAATTTCGTAGTTGACTTGCTTCTTTATTGTGCCATGATCTTCCAAAAGTTGAATCCAAAATCTTAAGCTCATTTCACAAGAACTTGTATCACCTTAAATGCTATGTTTGCATTTGAAGAAACCTTAGTCTCCATGTTCACTCTTAAGTTCTCACTAACTTGTCTTTGAAGAAAACACTTAGTTGAGGAATCATGCACAAAACCTCTGTGGTTGAATGACTGAATGATGAGTCTTAACCATGAATCAACTGGAACTTGAATGTGACACTGTCGCAAGCGCGTGACTATGTCAGAGTAATAAAAAGTTATTGAATCCACAAGGACCAATGGTTGAGTACCAAACTATGTTCTATCGTTGTATATCTAGAGAGATCAAAATTTGGTGTTTTATGAGAAACTTAAGTGAAAAATCACTTAAGTGGAAAAACAACTTAAATAAAAAGCACTTAAAGTAAATAAAGAAAACATGACTTTAGGGTCATGACTCTTATTTCCAACTTTTCCGTTTAACTCTAGCACTTCTATTACGAGAACTTCGACACAAATTATAGAAAAATAGACTATTATGGACAGTACCTGCTTTCGCCAGCGTATTGCCCTATCTCTGGCGAACGGGATACTCGTCGGTTTTCTCTCGCGCATAAACGTTTGTCAGTGATCATTACTGTTTCCAGTTTCCTTAGACTCTAAATACTGTTTCCAGTTTCCTCAGACTCAAAACTCTTTTGAAAAATTTTCTTTTGGTCAAAATTTTGGAAAAATGGTGAGAAGTGGTATTAAAAAATGAAGAAAAACAAACACACAAAGATAAAACAAGAAAAGTAGAAGCAAAGTAAACGGAACCCTCCAAACTTGAACTAAACATTATCCTCAATGTTTTTGCGCAAGCGAGGCGGGGTAAAACTCATAAGGTCCTCACTTGGGAGGTGTAAAGTGGTCTTTCAATTTTTTAACTTCATCACATTTTCATGCTCCTCATTTGCGAGCCTTTTTATTCGCTGAAAAAAGAAACACATAAACAAGAAAATAGATTAGCAACAAAAAACGTGGGTTGCCTCTCATGTAGCGCTTCGTTTAACGTCGCATGGCTCGACAGTTCATGAGTGTAAGCACTCAAGATAGTTCTTTCAAGAATGATTCCTCGGTTAAACTCTCAATAATCTTTGGTTTCCATAGCCACTTATCAAGCCATCTCTCATATCCACCACCCTTCTTTTTCTATCTTTTGTGGGGTGGTTCATATTTTTGAACTTGTGGGGGTGACTTTGATTCAATCATGCGTATAAGCTTTTCAGGTTTGTATTTAATCCTTTCATCTCCCTCCTCAAGGGTCAACCTTCCCCTCTTAGCACTAGTAATTTCCCCAGTTTCATGGTCCTCTAATTTTCTCATTTTAGATAGGACCTCAAACAAAGGTACATTGGCGTGGATCTTTTCCAATATCTTCACATACCTTTTGAGTTGGGAGTCTATCTTAGCTTCCACAAACTTTTGTGGGAAAGAAATAGGTGGGTTATAGGGAGGAGAAGAAATATAAGGTGTCTCCTTCACTACCTCTTCGACAACCTTCTTTTTGGGTGGTATCGGTGGATTTCCCTCAATTTCTAACATTTTCTCTCCAAAACTATTCTCAACCTCATTATCACTCTCCCTATGGTTTTCAAATTGTTTTTCACCTCTGGTTTTTACGACATTCACATGTTTCTCAATGATAAGTTATATAGGGGCGTGTACAAGCTAGGAGATTTGGGTCTTTAATGTCTTACTGTGAGTTGTGAGAGACTCAACTACAATGATTAGTTGCCTAAGGGATTCAACGGTATGGATATTTTGGTTTCTAAGCTCTTCATTGACACGAATTTGCGTCGTAATAAAATTCTCCATTAACATTTCAAGGTTGAATTGTTGGAAATCTTATCGTTCCTCATAATACTGGGAGTAGTTATCGTAGAGAAAATTTGGGTGATCCATCCACCCTGGGTTGTAGGAATAGAAACATGAGTCTTCATGGTAATTGTTCTCACAATTGATCATATTTTAGATAGACTCCATGCAAGCCACAAAACAGTCAATGAGAAAAAAATTACAGGAAAAATAAAGCTCTAATTTATACGGTGATCAAACAAAGATTCAATATCACGCGTAATTGGTCCTCGACAACGACGCCAAAAACTTGACATTGTCGCAAGTGCACGACTATGTCAGAGTAGTAAAAAATTATCGAATCCACAAGGACCAGTGATTGAGTACCAAACTCTGTTCTATCATTGTATATCTAGAGAGATTGAAATTTAGTGTTTTATGAGCAATTTAAGTGAAAAAGCACTTAAGTGGAAAAAAAACTTAAATAAAAAGCACTTAAAATAAATAAAGAAAATAAGACTTTAGGGCCATGACTCTTATTTCCCACTTCTCTGTTTAACTCAAGCACTTCTATTATGAGAACTTCGACACAAATTAGAGAAAAATAGACTATCATGGACAGTACCTGCTTTCTCCAGTGTATTGCCCTATCTCTGACGAATGGGACACTCGCCGGCTTTCGCTCGTGCAGAAACGTTCATCAGTGATCATTATTTTGATGCAATAATAGAAATATATATTAAAGAGGGGTTGACCCGAGTCAACTCCCTCTGATTATGCATTTTACTTTTCATTATTATTATTATTTATTATTATTATTATTATTATTATTATTATTATTATTATTATTATTTTTATTATTATTATATTACATATATTATTATTATCATTGGGGATTTGTTTACTAAAGTCGACATTAGGGTTTAACCCTAAATCCCAAAAGTTGCGCAGACCTTTTTCTTCCCCAAGCTACTCAGAAAGCCCAAAAACATTGATTTTGAATTGAATTTGGAAATTGGAAATTTGATCAAAATATTTGTTTTTTATTGTTTGAACGAATTTATAATATAATAGTGTCCATATACTTACACAATACAAACCCTAATTCTAATTTCTAACAAAATCTAAATATTTCTAAATTACATTAAAATCAAATCCTAAATTTGATTCTAATTGAACCAATTTCTAACCTGAAACTTCCAATCAACTAACTAATTTCCTAATCTAACCTATAACTTCTAAAATCCTAAAACTATAAATAGAACCCTAAGCTATTGGAATTAGGATGGACATAAAATCCTTAGAGATTCTTGTTGTTGCTGCACAATCCTTACACCTCCACCAGAGCTCTACATCAGAAAAGACTTGAGTTTCACGACTGAAACTCTAAGTTCTTTGAGCTAAACCTCCGACCTTTCAAAGTACCTGCAAAGATAAAAGAGGAGAGAGATTAGAAGGAGAAGAAGAAAAAACCAGAAGAGGAAATTATACAAAAAGAATCACTGCATGTACGGTAAGCCTAATCACTTAGCTTAGGGTTAATAAGTAGTTGATGTTGATTTGTGTACGAGGTTTGTTGTTTTTAAATTTGATTTGAATTGGGGTTTCTGGGTTTTTAATTTTGATTTGGGGTTAGGGTTAGTGTAAATCATGTTAGGGTTTAGTGATTTGGGTTAGATTTTGGTGATTTGGGTTAGGGTTAAAGATGAACAGGTTAGGTTTTAATGACTTGGGTTAGGGTTTGGAGGTAGGGTTAGGGTTTGGATGAAGGTTGTATGAATGTATGAAGACTTTCTGGGTTTGGGTTACGTTTTTGGGATTTTGGGTTGAAGATGGGATGAATGTATGAAGATCTGTGGTGGTTTTGGATGAAGGTGGTGGTGCCCTGGAGGAGCCGCTGGTGGAAGCAATTTCTGGCCGGTGGCACCCAAGGCGGGGAGATGTCTAATTATCGGGATTTTAGAGAGAAGGCAGATCCTCTCTCTCTAGAATTATACAAGGGTTTTGTTTCGTTTAGGCTAGAGAGAAAAGAGAGGGAGAAAAATGAGCCCAAGGCTCAGATTTCTGTTTATATAATACTCCCTTTGTGTTTGGATGCACGCCATATAGCTCCCTGAGAGCCCCTGGATGAGGTGACTGCTGACTAGCCACCTGTGCTCCACGTATAGTACTCTCTCAGTCAACTTTAAATCTCAGCCACTCATTTTGATTACCAATGATCCAACGCTCCAGGACTGGATCTTGGAGGCCGTTGGATGAAATCAACGCGCCAGATTTCTTTTTCCTCACCATAATGTATGCTCTCCGCCACGCAAATCTCAAATAGACCTATAGTTGGTATTGGGATTTTGTATAAAACTATGGGCCAAGCCCAATGCTAACCACACACCTACATTTTACTTGTAAGTTATAATTCTCACCCCCTTGCGCTTTTAGACCTGGATTTAATTTGGGTCTGAACCCCTTCATATTTGCACCCCCTGATTTAAATTTCACACCCCCTGGTTTTATTTTACACCCCCTACATAAATTTAATTAATTTATTTAAATTATTTGTTTTGTTTATTTAATTTATTTTTTTTATATGACATCTTATAACATTTTTTTAACATCTTGCATTAAAATATTTTGGGCATTTTGTCATAAAATCATTAAAATAAATATTGGATTAATATTAAAAATATTTAATTTATTTTTAATAATAAGAAAATAATTATTTATTAAATATTTTCTAATATACCAACCATATTATTTTGTATCTATTTATCAAATATTTTCATCATTCAAATTCTTTTTTCTATATATTGCATCATAAATTCTAAGACAGTTAACCCATCAAATACTAACATTTTTTTACTAACTTAATTTTAAATTTAACTTATTTTCAAAAAGGATTATGGATATATTGTTATATTAATTGTGAACTGCGTCTAGGACTACACCATTTCAAACCAAAACAAGATTCAAGGAGAATTCAAAATACTTTTACAATCCATAAAAAAACTAACCAAACACATTCGAACTACGAAATTGGACTCTGATTCTTCATAAGGAGATACGTAGGTACGCTGTTAAAACCAAGGAGAGTTCACAACTAAAAAACTAAAAGTATTTTCTCAACATATAGAAACATTAACTACCAAACACCCTTTTTACCCTTAAACTAAAAGCGGAGCCCCTTGAGAACAAGGGAGATGAAGAGTGCCTAAC